GGAGGTACGTGTCCAACCTGTGTTAGGACTAACGACCTTATGATGATGCGTATACTGAAAGAAAGACAAGTGTCAGCATGTGAAGGTGCATACAGACATTCTTATTTGAACCTCAGAATCAGTTCAAGAAAGTGTACATTTCTAAACACAAGGAAGCTTGAACAAATGTATCAGGTTCTGAAATTTGATAAGCATGGAAGAACTATATTGTGACAATTTATTTGACCGTTACGAGAAACGACCTATTGAACATCCAGATTACGACTTTGATATATGTGTCTCTTTGAATTTACAATGGTATTTGAACCTTACTACGCGAAATCACATCAGGATATTGAAGAATATGTTGATGCATATGAACTAGAAAGACCAACAAGACAGCGACTAATTACTCTGACTGATAATAGTTAAATACTCATTAGAAACATCCCAGCTGCAGTGCGTGTACCATATTTTATGGCAGCGACTGACCCGGAAAACTATTATTACAGTTTACTCCTTCAAAATGTTCCGTATCGAAATGAGAGCTAGTTGATTTCGATTATGATATAGCTAGAGGCTTTCTTAGCGAGAGAATCTGATCTTCGACAAATGAATATACGCTTGGAGACTTAGAGAGAGCGTGACAGGCAATTAGAAAACGCCTTTAACCAAATTCATGCATTTGAAATATTAGAGCAAGAAGCTCAACAAGAACAACTGAAAGAAGAAGAGGTCGAAGTAACAGAGCAGCACATGACCGATTATGAGTTCCTTAACGTTTGCAGGGTGATGGATGTTGGACAGAATGCAGCATTTTTGTATATTAGCAGAAGTATTTCAGGACAGTTCAATGGTCAACGAACGTTTTCGGTTATTCATAACGGGTAATCCTGGCACTGGAAAAACATTTGCTTAATTTGTTGAAAACCAAGTAAATTGGTGCTATGACTAGCAAGTTGTTAAAGTTTGTGCAGTAGCGACGCACTTAGTCAGAGGATCCACTTTACATTCTACACTCAAGTTGTCCGTGCAGAAAGATGGAGACTGATACAGATGCCCATTCCCACTGGAAATTATTTGCGATTGATGTGGCAACAATGGCAACATATCGAATTTTTGTTCATCGATGAAATATCTATAGTCCCATATGAGATGATTTGTATGGCGGATTCCCGACTAAATCAACTCAAAAGCGGTGAATGTATCTGAAATATGTGTGTATTTGGTGACTTGATGCAGTTGCCTTCATTTCCTGGAAACCAAGTTTTTGATCAGTCGATGAGACTAGTTCCAGTTATACATTTGTGACTATATTTTCTTTAATTGAACTGATCGAGAACATTAAGCAGCAGGCCAGTACTGTCTTTAAAGATCTCTTAAATGCACTACGAATAGGAGAGCTTCAGTCAGAGTAATTTTCCATAACTAAATAAAGAAGCAATAGGCGAGTTTGTAATAGACAAAGCTCTGTCAAGTTACGCCACTAATCAACAAGCGCACAACCATAATCAAACTGTCCTTGAACGTTTTAGATCTCGCGGAGTAACAATAAACACAATACGAGCACAGGATAATCTGATAGATGCAACGCGCAAGAGTGATAATACAGGTATCAGTACTGTTTTACCGTCCGATATCAACAAAACGTGAGGGTTACCAAAGGAATTATAAATATTTACTGGAACGAAAGTCATGATGCGTTCGAATATCGATGTCTGGAAAGGTCCAGTGAATGGTGCCATGGGATATATTAAAGAAATTATATGACCCTTCTTCCGAAGAGCACAAATGTATAATACTGATATTCCATCAGTTCAAATAGGTTTTAGTAACAGTGATATCCACCTTATACAGCCCAAATCCGTGCAATTTAGGGCTAAATACAGCCTGCAGAAGAAGAATGTTCCCCATCATCTCATGCTGGATTTCAACAGTATATAAAATGGTGGGGAGTACTGTTGACCATGTCGTGGTTTATTTTTATTTGGGTTCAAAACTCTTTACTGCCGGACAAGTGTATGCAGCGCTAAGTAGGCTTATATCTCTAGACTGACTGTAAATTGGAGAACCCAATTGTACAAAATTAATTGAGAAGAAACCGTTCAACAATAATGCTTTACTTGAAAAGGACAGATTGAGAAATATTTCTAAATAAAAAGGCGTAAATAAATTAACCTTCATTGTTGAAGTTGCAAATATAGCATTTGCTGTTAATCTGCTAATGAAAGAACGTCAGACGGATTGGTACTAGGAAGCCACAGATGCAGTGCCTAAGGGTTAACGAGACGAGCAACCAGGTTCGGGTCTACCCAAATCCTTAATCATTTCGCAATGAACTGAGCGGTCCTCTACATAACCCTTTAACCTAGCATGTGGGCTATATTCAGCTGCCACTTCGAGTCCTACGTCAATTGGCGAGGCAGAAATCGAAGATTATTTTTGGGCTCCCCCCCTTCCCAAGGCATTCCGGTCACCATCAGCTACTCCGGAGTACCCCTCGCTGAGCAATATCTGTATTGCCGTATTCGCGCTATTACCGGACATCTTTCAGACTTCTGGTTCGCCCCAGTTACATGATTTTCGCATCTATTCTGTTTTCGCCACAAGTGTACAGCTTCCCCTAATGGGCCAGACTACTCACCCGAACCACTGCTCTTTCCAATATACTTCAGGTTGTAACCCATAGGCCAGTTTACCTTCTACTCTGTGACCCCGCCAGATGGGCACACTATTTTCAGAACGCTTACTTCGCCTTTGGACATGGGTGGAGAGTGTGAACGTCCAGGAAACCGTTGAATTTTCTTTGAGATTACTATGCGACTGTCACTGAACGCTTCCTATATTCACTTTGCTTTCAGATTTCCGGGGGTCCTTTAACTTTGTTATAACGTGCGTATGGGTCCTGAGCTCCCCCCCCCCATGACAAGGTAAATACCTTGGGGGAAGTAGTACGATTAAGGATATAACTGGATTAACCGCTGCACATTATAAGATATTATAGTCAATTGACTCATTTGTCTGATCGAATATTTCACCCTCAGAGGAAGTATTACAAGTAGCCAGGTGCATGATATTCGCGTTAATTGTAACTGTTAAAAAAACTCTGCGCACCTATGTTACGGCTAATTAGGCTTCTATTAAGAGTACGGATTAAAAACTATGATCGTGAATAGTGGTAGGACCACATACACTTAATGTTGTCTGATATTAGCAACTTATATTCTTTTATGAGTTCCATACACATATCTCTTGATGAATGATCTAACATTTATTGCAAAGATTATCACCAGTAAAACAAATACCAAAATATGGGTTGGAACAAAGTCCGACCTTGCCTAAATCGTGCACCAAGGGTTTGTATAAGCTACACTCCTGCAAATTCGTTTCGACCTGGGAGGAAAGAAAGAAGAGCATGGCGAGGTCAAGACACTGCTGTATGTATATTGGGGTTCGGGACATTCCATTAAAGGTCATTGCTCCTATTATATTGGGGTCGAGGTGTGTCAATACCTTTATTACAAGGTTAGTCGAGACATGCCACTGAGTGTCATCGCCTCTACTTTTATGACAGTTGAGGACAACAAGAGTACGACAACTTACACGGGCCTCCTCCTGCTTGACCGAGTGATATGATCAGAGGACCGCTGACTTTTCGGCGCCTGTCGAGGTTCCCATGCGATTGCCACTAATTGCGTTGATAGCCGCACCGGGAGAGCCTCTCTTTCGACTCGGCAGGCTTTATTGTGAGGGGAGAGCCGAAACCCTCGCGTTAGCCTACCTCGTCTGTGCGGGATTATATCGCTTTCGAATGTCAGCTTCTGCGTACTTTCCCCTCAGGGCTTCCGCGGAGTCCTCGGGTACACCAGACGGGTGCTTCCGGACCTTCGTCCATGTCCGTCGGTTACTTCCCACAATCACTTTTGCTTCCAAATACCCGGGGGTCCTTTAGCTTCGCCATAACATGTGTATGGGTACTGAGCCCCCCCACCGCGACATGGTGAGGACCCTGCTGGGAGTCAGTCTGAACAGGTAGACTGCACCCTACATAGTCTGACAAATTTTTGCCGAGTTATGGTCAAGAACGTTTCAGTAGAGGAATACTATCTCGAACATAATCCAAGTAACCGCATACAACTAAGCAGTTAGAGACCTATAATATACAAACTCCCTTTGGAATCCTATGGAGCTTGAGAGGCTTTTATACAAAAATCCTTCTCTTTCTACTGCTTGGATGATTTATGTTTCAACCACCGCTAAATGTCAGGGTTGCAACAATTTCCTATCCTGATTCTGCTCGTTATTTATCAGTGAGCATTTTCCCACGTTCTGTGAACGAAATTGGTCTGGACTAAGTATTCTACATAGTACGTAGATTTTAGAAACTAACTGTAAGGCTTAATTTATAGTTATTTGTAAGGCAATTTAAATACAAATTAATGACTGTGCATGTTTGGGTTGGAGTTGTTTCATTTGCTGTTATCATATGCTTAGATAAGTTAGTAAAACCACGGAACTATTACATCTTGACAGTTACTTTCAAATATCTTGAGTATGTATGAATAAAACTAAATCATCATAAATCGCATTACCAGCTCAACCATAAACTTCCAATCGGCTAATCCGAAGGGTACGAGCTTTTCTGTTTAGTTGTAAGCCAGTTTGACCAGTTTAAGACTTGGTTTATCTTTGTCTTACTCATTAGTCGACTAAATTATTTTAAAACTAAATATTCTATTGTTACTAGCATTAGTCAGTATTGTGCTACTGAACAGATTGTTTCGTACAGACTGTGCTGAAGACGTACACGCAATCTTAAAATAATAATATAATCGGAAATTAGAATCACCTTAGTAAATATCTCGTATCTTCTGTCTGCTCTTTGCTATACCTCAATCTTTCTTTGTTATGTTATCTTACTTATTGTTTAAATATGTAGTAGTAGAAATTAGCAATCTAGTTATACTAAAATAAGTAATGTTAAAATTTTCTAAATTATTTCAAAATTCCACTATTTTTAGGGAAATCGAATTACATGATTGTGAAGTGGTTCTTTTTATTTAAAATCGTTTGTTGAGTAATTGGTATGCATATTCAGTCCACACAATACATAAATTCCAACTCAAACCCTGGTGGAGAATTTTCGTTGGATGAAATTCATAATCATGAAGAAAATGAACTCAAGGATTGTGATATTCAGGTACTTTATGCTTTAATATACAAATAAAATCATCTATTGTTGCTAGAACCCCACACGCAGAAATATTTTATATTATAAACTAAATAACATTAAAGTTAATAGGAATTTTTACCTAGAAAAATTAAAACAAAACATTAATGATGAGTGCGCACATTTTGCTACAGTAGAAATCATCAGGCAAATGTTCAAATTCTGTGTAGTTGCACGATTTATTAAATTTTGATTGTGTAGGTATGAGTGTATATAAAAATTATTTTAAATTATATTGAGTATCAAAAACTAGGCACACTCGACCCGAATATTTTTATGAGAAATAAAATTCATAATCTGATAGTCAATGACTTATAATTAAGCACATTTAAATAAATTTGCATTTCAGGAATATGACTCATTAGAAACCAGATCCAGAGCGTATACCTCAACTTGTAAAAATATATGTGACTGCGAAACACCACTTGATACCGTAAATTCGTGGGATTCCCATTCCCATTATCGACAACTTATTCGTTTTTCTAGTAACTCTCTCTACTCAGGCATAACCATATATTGCAATCACGCACATCTTATTACTTCCATTGGAATTATAAGGTTACTCTTAATTGTAAGTAAAAAAAAAAGTAAATTCTCAAGTGATAAGAATACAAAAAAATATATGTACATAAAATAATAGTTTTTCACAGTTCTTAAAACATTTGAACAATTAATGGGATCTGCCTCATTGTATTTTATCCAAATTGGTGGAACCAAAGAAAAACGTCAACTTTTTGTCTCATTATGATAAAAAGTGTGTGCTATATCACTACAAATAGTACATTCCGTGTCGAGAAAGGAAGCAAGGTTTTTTCAGAGTGCATGTGAATAGCAACCCGAGCACAAGGCGAGGATGGCAAACATGCAGTCTGAGATAACCCTATTTCTTCCCGAGGGACGTACACTATTTTTTGAAATGTTTATGCGGAAAGTTCGTCATTAAATTGATAGATAGGCAAAATAAAAGTAAATTATTTAGAGGTTAGGAAGTCGTTGTAGTCGAATAACTGATTTTTGCGCATGCCTATAAACTTCAGCGCATGCCCTCAATGACTAATTTCATTGCCTGCCGATAGAAAAACGGATGGAAAAGGTCATAATTTCCCTTTTTCATAGCACGTAAAACGAGCTTTCCGCGGTAACATGACAAAAAAATTCTTAATAGGTTAGCATACCTATTCATTTTGATGATAAAATGTAGACGTCATTCTATAAAAAAACTTGAAATATTGTTAGTTATTCACTGATACTATGGAGGTGTGCTGACGTGATATATAGATTAAAAATCTTAAATTATATAGAATAATTTTTAATTATTGTTAAATAATTTAACGATAACGATTTATTTTTAGATATCAACAGCAGCCTGCATTACGTGCCTGTGTAGTTCAGGGATTGTTAAAGCAGGACTTGTAGTGCTTCCACTTGTGAATAGAATTAAATTTATGATATTCGTACATTTATTGGGTTTCTTTGTAACTGGGATTTTACTGTTCCTTGAGATCACTCATCTAATTCATTTATTTCCATTTAATTGGATTAAATTGGTAAGTAGAATCATTAATCACGATAGCTATACTTACTGTTAAAGTTCCTCATTTTTTAACCTGTTGAAATTGAAATTGATTATTGTCTATGCATATTGCGGACTATTTGAGAATATTGCAGCAAAACTTAAGTTTTTGCCAAATTATGAACCAACAACCTAATTAACACATTTCAATTCGTTGCTACAATTAACACTACACTGATTACGTCCAAGATTGTAGCTTTTCGTAAAAATGCCCCCCCCCCTCCTCTGCCAATGCTAGCTTTCTTATGTACCATATACTAGTTCTTTTAGAATGTATTATCTGGAAAGTAGAAGAAATCAGTTTCTTGTGAGTTCTTCATAAGAAGTATCGCTCATATGTATCAGTACAGTATGGTAAATAATGTTTGCATATCAAAAATTTCACTAAATGTTATCTCTCATTCCGTAACCTTATCATAACATATCCATGTTACTCGGGGGTTTTAAGGGCCGTCGAACACGAATATCTACTCGACGACGACCTCTAAGATACCTGGGGTCCGATTATCGATGATTTGATAAATGATATTAAATTAAGTTTTTTCTAATGATAATGATTCAGTTCACTTCAGTCCCTGAAGAAGGTAACCTTGTTACCGAAAAGTGCTTCGGACATCTAAAGTGTCGTTTTGACGTTGGGGTTTGAGCTATTTTGTTTGTTCTACAACAACCGCCAAAGTTTTTCCAGTCTTCATATTTCTAAAGATAATGCTTTAAATGAGTGAATTTTTTTGAATACACAGTTGTTTTGATATAATATATAATATTTCAAGGCTTACTTTGTAAAAATAAAATTGTTAAGTATATAATTTTTTTCAAAACAGTTATCATCGAAGCCTTTATTGTATGTCGTCGCCGACTACATATTCGTGTTCAGCGACCCTCAAAACCCTCGAGGAATAAAAATTGACTTTCTATCATTATTGATCAAGTTTTTTTTATAACAACTTTGCAATGCACTTATGTATAAGACTGCAGTTTTAAATATAAATTGATTTCGAATGCAGAAAATCGCATCTAGGTTCAATTTACTGTAAAAAATTCGAAGTTTTATTTTCTCAACCATATCGGCCGACCATCTATTAGCACTAAGCCATCATGCTCCTTGTAAGGGAAGAAGATCCTATACTTTATTTAGTCAGGAGCCATTAGTGTCGTATCAAGTAGTTTTTCACAATATTAATCCGACATATAATTTTTACTTTACGGTGGTATATAGAATAATAAAGGAACAAAATAATACAGACCAGGCTTCAGTAAAAGAAAATTTTATCATATAGTTTTGATTCTTTTTCTTATTCAATTTTAAATTGTATTCAACCATATTGTAGTTTCAGTAACAGAAATGTAACGTTTTCAAATTGCATCAAACTTCTGCATTAAAAACAAATTTAGTAATAAAATAATTTAGAGAAACAACTACAGTAAAATTTCCACATAACGGGCCTCTATTTAACGAACTTTGGATATAACGGACAAAAATTCTGGGCAAATGTCAAAAGAAATTAAAAACGTCCCGTTAATATTATACATGCTTAAATTCAAGTGTAGCCGCATGTAAACAATTTTTAGCGGCCATGATAATCATGTCATACGTCTAGCACTGGAATTTGAGACATAATGCCATCCTGCTTGTAGACTGCACCTAGCCGGAGCGATAGTATGTTAGGGGATTCCCTGATATACTATCGCGTAGGTTTAGACGCAGCACACTGGAGTTTGCCATGCTAGCCGGAGATTCACGTGAAGTTGAACTTGTTTACTCGAAGTGAGTGACCGCATTTATTGCTCCAGTAAATAAATTTAAAATTTTGCACCCCTACCCTTTAAATATGGACAAACAGAAAAGAACTAATATAACGATCGATCAAAACTTAAAAACTACATAAAAGTTGGAATCAGGAATGTCTGCATTTCATATATGTGAACAATATGGTACAACAAAGCAAATTGTTTTGGACATAAAAAAACAAAAGCAAAATAACTAAATTTGCGTTAATGTGTGATGTAGGAGAGACGAGTAATCCCCGAAAACGAATGAAATTGGCTAGTGAAACTTCACTTGAAGAAGCAATCTTAAAATGCTATAGCCAACAACGTTCTTCTGGGGTTCCCGTTCGGGCAGTCGAATTGAAATCTACTGCAATTAAATCAGCAAATATGAACATATCATTCAGAGTAACTGATGGGTAGCTCTGGCGGTCGAAAAAGGCACGGAATCATGAATAAGCTCCAAGTGCACCAAAAGATGAAATTGAACCTTTTAGACAAAAATTAATAGAACATATAAATAACGAAATGCTATTAAAACCTCCGAAACTGGTTTGTAATGGCGTACATTGCCTGAAAGCACACAAGCCTCCAAATATGAAAAATCGAATTCTGGAAGAAAAATCAGCAAAGACATGATCACGGCACTGTTTTGTGTCAACGCCGATGGATCGCATAGACTGCTTCCTGTAATTGCTGGCAAATCTCGGACACCTAGAGTTTTAAAAGATACAATGCATCATTTGCCCGTTTCATATTATAACTCTAATAAGGCATGGTTCAACTAAGATATTTTCAAAAACTGTTTTTTTAAGGAATTTATACCTACTGTAAAAAAATTTTCAAGAGAAGAAACTGGGAATACCGCCGAAAGAGATGAAATGTTTATTGATTTTAGACAAAGCTCCTGCTCACACATCTGAAAATATTCTACGTTCAGAAGATGGCAATTTCAGTTGTATGTTTTTACTAAGAAATACAGCATCGCTTATTGAAGCCATGGAACAGGGAATAATTTTGGCAACCAAACGAATATATCGCAGAAAGGTTTTAGATTAAGTAATGGTTGTACTGTAGGATGAAGATAATGCAGAAGATACAAGAGGACAGCGTACTTTGCAAAACATAAAGTGTTACAATATAAAATCAACAATTTTTAATTTTACTGCAGCATGGAAAGAGGTGAAAGAGCACACATTAAAAAATGGTTGCAAGAATTTGCTTGATGGCCAAGATGCAGACATAGATTTAGAAGGGTTGGAAGTTCCTGATTTCTATAGAACAATACATAATAATGTCGGAGAAGAAGTAGCTGAAGAAGATCTTTTACAATGGCTAGAAGTAGATGAAGGTGACCCTAGGCATAATATCATGACTGAAAGTGAAATAGCAGATGAAGTTATGAACCTAAAAAATGAGGATGGAAGTGAAGATAGCGAGGAAGAAGAAAAACATTGCCAAAAATGTAGTTATCAGTGATATGATCACATTTCGACGATCTAATAACATTTATTGACTATTCGTCAGATAACGAAATTCAACTGTATTATAGGCATTTTCGTAATTTTCAAGAGTTAATTATAAAACAGCAAACACTTCGAAAGTGCAAACAAAACTTGATTCCTTTTTCAAGGTAAGATTACCGAATGCAAGCACGTCGATATCAAACAGCCATGTCACTTCATGACGAGTGTTCGAAGACAATTAAATAAAATTTTGTTTNGGCGAAAAATGCCGAACTACTGCCGAAATTGTTACGACAGGCTTAAGCAATGCTTAAGTCAGGAACATCATGTGCTTAAAGTTAAGCATCTGTTTCGATTCTTAAGCGCGACTTAACTTGCGGTGCAAACCAATTCCGTCTTTTAAGAACTACTTAAAGCTAAGTAGTACTTATTTACGTCGGTGCAAACGGGCATGAAAGTTTTGGGAGATGCTTTGCACAAATTGCATTTGGTTTGCCGTCAATTATGATAAATGTAAAATATGTCTAATTTTTTTGTCTTGATTATTGTAGGTTGTAAAACGTTAATTTTTTTACTGAAGCACTGTTACACCGTTATTTTTCGACAGAAACTTCCGTTGTTCCTTTTCTAAATCGATGCTTTAATGATCATTAGTATTATGTTGAAAAAAGACAAATATTTCTCCATTTTATGACATCATCCGTATCAGGAAATTTTATCTAAAGCTGCAAGGATATACAAGATGTAACTAACAAACTGTTGTCATTAATATTTGGGTCAGAAGGGTTTTGTTTCTATTCACTCTGGCTTGAACTTCCGTCAAATCCCCACTTAGTAGTTAAAGCAAAACTATTTGGGGTATATTCTGGCAGGGAGTTCTTCTGTAACTCCATAATTTTTATTGCTGCAAGACCTACTAAAGCTTGAAGTTCAACTTCAACAGATGACTCCGTGACCGTAATAAATTCTCTTTGAGGGTTGCATCGTTTCTTGTGTTTCAAAATATTCTTATACCAGGCGCCTGTAAAATTGTCAGTTGGAGTTGTGACACTGGATACTTGCGCTAGACCAAGTGCGACAGTCTTGGTTCATAAACGGTCAGACACCTGCCTGACGAGCTTGATGAGTGGATTGACTCCAGGGTGAGAGTCTCCATGGTTCGCATTAGAGATTAATTTACGGAAGGCTGCCGTCAGGAAGGAACGTGCCGTCGAGGTAGAGCTGTCGCAGAAGATTACTATTTCCTGCATATCTCTGACGATACTTTTGCAACTCGTTCTGTTGTTGCGCTGCCGCGATTCACCATGAAGTCAAGCAGCGTAACTCGAGAGAGAGCATCCTCAGCAACGGTGAGATGGATGGCGGAATTGCCATGGAAAGCATTTGAACGTGAGCAACTTGTGATCTGCCGAGACGATGACGTGTGCTGAAAGTACACATCTTTGTGGAGAACAAGAGTTCGCGTTCATGCACAGAGTTTTTGGATTTGACGCTTCTGAGTTTCTGTGAGAAGACACTAAGTTGTTCCCAGGCGTCGCCTACTAGTTGTTGCATTGTGGCTTTGACGTCGCAGATAAGAGAAAGTGACGCCGATTGTACACACTTGATGGTGGATACTCTCTCCCGGACCGATTGTGTGCTCTTTATAGAAGGAAGCTCCAAAACAGCAATTGGACTGACCATCGTAGAATCACGGACAAATCAGCACCGGTGTGGATTAAAAAATTAAATTAAAGTAGCTGTCACTTCTTCACATTAGAAACTGCCCATCCTGTTTTCGCGTCTATACGTTCTAACTAAGGTTTATAGTATGTTACAGTGAGAAAGACCACATGTTGTGGTTGCCTGCAATTTTTATTGTCTTTTCTAGGTAATCTCTTTTTTACTGTCAATCGACATTTGACTCTAATACGAAGCTAGGGTTAGGAACCAGTGGCATAAGTTTATATGACCAACGTGTAGCTAGTTCCATAACTTCGGAACAGTTAGAGTGCGTACATTTTTCACTTCACGTTAAGTCTGCGGTTTTGTTCTTCAAGTTTGAGTGAAGAACGTAACAACACTTCGTATAATTGCGATTCATCATTTGAGACCACAGCCGGAACGGATGAATCAAAAACATGAAACGAATAGATTAACTTAACTATTTACTATTACCATGAACAATTAAATATAAGAAGTGAATACATTACAACTATATAAACGTAATCTTGTGACGATGAACTACGCACGAGCGAGAAACAAAACTTTCAGCCCTTGATACCAGCTCAACTAATCAATGAACTTTATACTTGATAATAATAAAACCAAAATTGGAAGTATTAGTCTAACCAACTGACAATTTACAATTAAAAGTTGGTAGAAAATAAACCTTAGAAATCTTTTGTTCGCATATGCTATATAGTTCCTGCGCTGACTTAATCCGGCACTGATTAAAGCAGAGGAAGATCATTTTCTGCTACCGAACGAACACTTTCTGTACTGGTGCGAAAAGTGAATAGTGGGCACGACGGAAGAGATTAGGAGAATGTAAGCTGAGGTATTGTAGTCGAATGATGATAAACAAGGATAAAGGCGCTATGGAAGTCAACAAGAAAAAAACAAGAAAAAGGAGATGTATGATGATCTTCTGAAACATGTGAAGTTAGTTAAAGACTTACAAAAAGCACGAACACGAGTATGGTGAGGCAGGAGTAGATCTAGATTAAATTACTGCTCAAGAAATTGCAAATTTTGGCTCAGATTAGGAAAGAATGAAGATGCGCGTCCAACCAGTTTTCGGATTGACGACCCTGTGATAACGGTTTAATAAATACAAAGATCCGTTATCTTCATTACAATTGGCGAATTAATAGTAACATGTTGATAAATGCAATAATAGTTTTATTATTTTGAAGTAAACATTATCATTTTTGTACATAATGGTAGGTTTCGTATTGTAGGCATACATATAAATAATGTAAATATATGTCTTAAAAATTTTAAATAACAATCATAACTTTTAATTATTGATAATGATAAATATTGACGGCTTCCTTTTCAAAGCAATATGAAAAGTACAATACAAGTGTTTAAAATACAACGTAGTCCTTGGGAGCCGGAAGTTTTGGATAATATAAGATTGAAGGTAATTTACCAAAAAACTGATTCTGTTGCTCGGACCGTTTTTGAAATGAGTCTATATACTACCATTATATTAAGGTAGCGTAACCTGTAATTATATCCCTACCACTAATTATGGTGTAATCCAGCGCTGTCCAAACTAGCTTCGAGCAATGCATTTTGAGATTCGTATGGCTCCCATGTTAAATTCGAAGCCGCCAGACGGGTCAGCTAAAACGACGCCAGAACGAGTGAAATAGCAATATTTACAGTACGAATCAAGTCAAAACTCAGCCATAATTTGGGTCATTTTACCGTCCATGTTGCTCGCATGTTACCTCAACCGATCCGTACGGTCTCTGTCTTACTTGGTAGACCAAACGCTAGACCTTTTCCTTCTCACTTTTACCTAATCCCTCCCATTGTTTGTCATGCTGGCTTCAACATGAACAGTGCTGGTGTAATTATATAGTATCGTTTTGGAAGTGAAAAATACCAATATAAACACCATCAGACAAAACAGCATTGTAGCCACAATATAGTTTGATCAGTTAAGAGAACTACTTGTCAAGGAAAGGTCTCGATAATTTGTTACTAATTTGTTGTAGAAGAAATAAGACGAACAAGATGTTATATAATATGATTGAAAAAGGAAAAGACAGATAGGTGGAAAGAATATGTAGAGAAGTGATACGCAGGCAATGAGTTAGGAGATATATTAGAGGAGGAAGATAGTATGGATATAGATGGGCTAGGTTATCCCATAATAAGAGAAGAGTTCGATGTAGCATTAAAAAAACTTAAAAAAATAATAAACCCATACGTTCCCCATGTTCTCACAGAGAGAAATCTGTGTCGCCGCATTGACGTCTGCGATTCGCTTCTCAAACGTCTCGAAAATGATCCGTTTTTGATGCGCATTATCACTGGGGACGAAAAATGGGTTGTATACAACAACGTCAAACGCAAGAGGTCATGGAGCAAAAAAGATGAACCGGCTCAAACCATTTCCAAAGCCGATATTCACCAAAAAAAGGTGATGCTGTCTGTTTGGTGGGTTTTTAAAGGAATCGTTTTTTTTGAGCTTTTACCGGATAACACAACGATTAATTCGGAAGTCTACTGTCATCAGCTGGACAAACTGAATGATGCACTTCAACAGAAAAGGTCAGAACTAATCAACAGGAAAGGTGTAGTGTTTCACCAAGACAACGCGAGACCTCACACAAGTTTGGTCACTCGCCAAAAGCTTTTACAGCTTGAATGGGATACAATGCTACACCCACCATATTCTCCAGACCTGGTACCATCTGATTATTATTTGTTCCGGTCACTCCAAAATTTTTTAGACGGTAAAACCTTCACCTCAAATGAGTAGGTCAAAAACCTCCTCGATCAGTTTTTTGCCAGCAAAGACCAAAAATTTTATGAGCGTGGAATTATGCTACTACCAGAAAGATGGCAAAAGGTGTTGGACCAGAACGGTCAATATATAATTTAATAAAGTATTTGTTTATTATACGAAAACTGTCTTTCATTTCCACAAAAAAAAACGAAATGACTTTCCGAACAACCCTATACATATACTACATATAGTTAATAAATAATATTATCAAAACTTCCCGCTCCCGGTAACTACATTGTACACCTCTATAAAATATTTTAAAAATAAGTATGTAATTAGTTAGTATGAGTAGCTGTGAAATGAGTGTAATCGGTACGTATTAGATGACATTATACACGATCAACTAAAAACTAAAAATCATAACGGAAAGCTTCAACAATTAAACAGTTCGTAACGCTTCGTAACTACTGCAAATACAATATTCTTTTGATTTCTTTACTGTAAACTAAATATGCAGCATTTACTTGTTTATTTGTTTCAGAATACGTACTTTTTTGTATGTCTCAGCATCCTGTTCTTAACTTCTTCGACACTGATATTTTATACGATGTTTACATTCGAAGCATTTTATAGGATTTCCAGTTGGACTAAACACCATTTATTAGCTGCTAGTGTAAGTATGTATTATTTGAACGAGAGTTAGTGACTGTTTCATACTGATTTTTGTTATAGTTTTATTATCCTTATAGTTAGATATACTAGCTTTGGATTTTCCACTAATCACCCATTCCAGTAGAACCAAAATTACTGCGTTTTCACTGTAGACATTATATTTGCCGTAATGCATAAGGTAAAAGGCCCAGTTTCTGACACTCTAAGAGTGACAGCTGAGATTATATTACGATAACTAAAATAATATTTAATTAGAATAAATAATTTTTATACTATAAACAAGTTCACAGTTTCTAGAAAAACTCATATACGCGATATAATTATTTGAAGCGAATTAGTAATTTTAATTAATGATTTAAAAAGTGATGTTTGAAGACCCAGTTTCTGACACTTAAAATTTCTTGTGTTGTAGTTTCTGACACTGCCATCGGCCTAGTTTCTGACACTCATATTTGGTAATGATTCTCTCTCGGTTAAATTATGTAT